TTCTTGGGGGGGGGGGGGGGACCACCTTTGCTCTCCTCCAGTCCTCTGGCCTCGGGATGCCTCAAAGATAAATGTCAGCCTTCCTTAGAAAATCTACACTTTCTAGGGGGCATTTCACCTGGCCAAGCCTTCTTTGGGTCTGTAGCTGGATTTGTCTCCTGTTGAGGACCTTTGCAGACTCGGGGGATTGCATGATGCAGCTACACTCCTGTGAGGATCCCTGCCCTTTGCTCCTCCCTTGAAGTTGTGTTGGGGGTCTCCCTTCTGATCGTGAGAGAGAGAGAGAGAGAGAGGGGAAGAAAGGCCCTTCTGTCCATTTCCTCCCCTCCCCCTTCCGTGGGGGTGGAGAGGGTTCCCTTTGTAGAATCGGAAGGGGTCCCTGAGACCGCCCAGAGAGATGGCTCTCCAGCCCTTCCCTGGACACCTCCAGGGAAGAGGGCCCCACTCCCTCTTGGGGTCAGGGGTTCCATGCAAAATTGCTCTTCCTCCTGGCATTCAGCTGGGCCCTTCCTGTGGATGGCTCCAGGACCCGGTGTCCTGCACTCTGGAAGGAGAGAGATCAGGGCTGGACCTTCTCCCGGGGGACTGACAGCTGAAGATGGGCCTTCTGCCCTCGCCCACAGCTTTCTGTCCCCCAGGCTGAAGATCCCCACTTCCTGCAGCCTCTCTGTGGGAGACCCCTCCAGTCCCTGGCCCTCCTCTCTGCCCTTCTTGGACTCTCTTCCAGCCTGTCCCGACCCCTCTCCAAACGTGCTGCCCAGACCTGGACAAAGGACTCGGGGGCGGGGGAGAGGGGTCAGTCTGCCCGAGAGAGAGTCAAGTGGAATTATCCAGTTTCCAGTGGAAACCGTGGCTCTGTAGATGCAGCCTACAATTCCCTTCGCAGGCCAGCATACACTTTGCTATTGCAAGAACGCTTTTAAAGTCATATTGCCAGGCTGCTACTGCAAAGGGCAGCAAGCACCAAGCCAACCTAGGATTATCTGAGAAAGTTAAGCAGGGTCCTGTCTGGTTAGTCCTTGCGCAGAGGCTACAGGGAAATACCAGGGCTGTAGGCAAGACGGGGAGGCAGTAGAAAAGCAAACCGACCTGGGATCACCTCAGCCTTTTCTATCAAGCCAGACCTCCCCCATCCTCCACGTGTGCCTTTGATTTCTTTTCTCAGAATTTTACATTTGTTTCTATTATTTTCAGTCCGTTTCTCTAACTGGCCAAGACAGTTTGGAATACCTTAATTTAGGTTTGGCCCAGGCGCGCTCTGCAGCACTGCCAAGCCATTTGCTTGGACTCCTGAGGCAGAGGGTCTCTTTAGCCAACAGTGAAGCGACTCCCCCTCCTCCTTTCCCTGGCTCCGGGACCTTTTGAACAGGATCCGTACTCCAGCCCATCACTGACTCGGTTAGCCCACAATCCTGCAAGGGGAGAGGTGCCGGGGGTCTCTCCAGGAAGTCCCCCTTCCCCGAGGCCGAGGGAGAAGCGCGCGCATGGACCTGAGAAGGAGGGCCCTTGTCACCCACCCTTTCTTCTCCCAGGGCATGGATTACCTTGGTTCTCGGCGCTACATCCACAGAGATCTGGCCACCCGGAACATCTTGGTGGAAAATGAAAACCGGGTCAAGATTGGCGACTTTGGCCTGGCCAAAATCCTGCCCCAGGGCAAGGAGTATTACGTGGTGCGGGAGCCTGGACAGAGCCCCATCTTCTGGTAGGCGGGAGGGCAGCGGCCATGACGGAAGGGCCCCGGGCTTAGGGCCGGCTTGGCTCTCCACCGGCAACCAAGCAGAGGGGCCGACTGGGAGGGGGTTGGAGAGCTGGGGGAGGGTGTGGCTGTAGCAAAGCGGGGAGCAGCCCTCTCGAACAGGAGGTCAAAGAGCGCCCTGTGAAGCCACGGCAGAGCCGTCGATGGGGAAGCGAGCGCATGAGATCCACGGGCTGCTCCGCTTGGGCTCTTCCCCCGGACAGGTATGCCCCCGAATCCCTGGCCGACAGCGTCTTCTCCCAAGAGTCGGACGTCTGGAGCTTCGGCGTCGTCCTCTACGAGCTTTTCACCTACGGCAGCACGAGCCACAGCCCCTCGGAGGTGAGGGGGCCCTCCCAGAACGTATTTATGAGTATTAGGAATCACCCCAGTCGGGAGACCAGCGACTCCATGGGCCCGAGGCTGCCCAACTGCCATGCTGCAGAAAGACCCACGTAAAATCAAAATCGAATAACTGCTCCCAGGCAGCCCCCCCCCCATGATCGTGGAACAGCCAGACAGGAGCAGCTTCCCAAAAGCTGGGCGCCAGGCCTTGGGAGGTGCGGCGTTCCCAGGGTGGGGCAGGCACCAAGGATGTATGTGGGTGGCCCCCTTCAGCTCCCATGGGGGGCCCTTTGCAAGCCTTCCCTGCCAGGACCCCGGGAGAGGGCCAAGGCTGAGCAGGAGAAACCGTCTTGCGGGTCCCCAGGACCGATCTAGGGGCCAGCATTTCGACTACGCCAGGAGTGGGGAGAGGGCTGCGTCGGGCTTCTTGGTTAAATCTGCCCCACTGGGTCGCAGACTGGCCTCAAGCGCTTCGAGCCGACTGAAGCTTCAGAGTCGGATTCAGAGGCAGCCCAAGGAGTGTGTGTTGCAGTAGTCTACCTGCAGGGTGACGAAGACATGGGCCACTGTGGTCAGGGCTTCCCAGTCCAGGGATGTCTGCAGCTGGCCCACAGCTGCAGCTGAGAAAGGCTTCCCTGGTCTTGGCCGCTGCTGCCGCCTCTTCCCAGGGCTCAGCAGGAGGACCCCCAAATCACTGACCCGCACTTTTGAGGAGCTGTGCCCTCTCCAGCCCCCCCCCAGCTCTGGGACCGCCACACAATCTCCAGCTACAGGTGACTCATGCAGAGTTGCGTCCCCTGGGGGGAAGACCCTTCACTGCGCACACTGGATTCAACACCCCCCGCCTGATCGTTCCTCCCCACGCACACCAACTGGAAGTGCCCTCTTGGGAAGGAGCAGACCCCTGTCCCACCCCAGCTGCTGCAGGTGGCCCCACAGGATACCACGGGCAGGGGGTCTAACAGGATGGGCACCCTCCCTCCCGGTCCCCGAACAGGAGACCCTGCTGTTTCCACTCAGCCCAGACCTGCGACCCAACAGAAGGGGGTCTGGGAAAGTCCCTTCCCCAGGACCTCTGCAACTGAAGCCCTGCCTAAGGGAGGTTGGGGGTGGGCTGGCAGTTGTCTAGGGTGGCCTCTACCTCCTGCACCCACCCATCTGCATCAGCCGGGGGGCGGACAGGATCTCAAGCCCATGCCCCGGAGGGCCCGGTCCACCGCCTCGGCCTCCGCGAGCTCAATTGAAGCCCCAGGGCCTCCCAGGAAGCCACCTGGTTGTCTCCACAGGACAAGCAAGGGTTAGGGTTGCCAACGCCCTGAGACGCAACTGCAGTCCAGTGGGTGCCCTGGGGGGCCCAGTTCAACCCCATTTGCGGGGGACTCCTACTCAATCCAGGGATGGAGGGAGCATTCGGGAAGGAGGAGAGTGATTTTGCTCGGCTGGAGGTGGTTTGCCTGGGTGGCCCCTGGCGGGGGCGAAGAGGCAGCAGCTGCCCTCCCCCCTCGGACAGCCCTGCGGGTCGCCCAGAGGGTGCTGGCGGGAGGCAGCAGGATCCAGGCCACTCAGGGCGCACAAGCTGGCCATCTGGCCGCATCCTGCTGTGCACCCCGCTTGACCCTCAGGTCTCCATCCCCACAGCCCACGCCCTGGAAGAAGCGCGGCCGCTCAGTGAAGTGGCCCAGTGGCCCCTTTCAGGCCCCCCTTCGTGTCCCGCAGGCAGGGGCTGATCTGTCCAGGGTCTCCATCTCCTTGTGAGGGCGAACTTGTGCCCACCAGCCCCATCCCGCCCCCAATGAGACTGCATTCTCCCACCTTTCACCCCCCCAGGAATTTCTCCGCATGATGGGTCACAGCAAACCTGCCCTGATCGTGTGTCACCTCTTGGAGCTGCTGAAGGAGCAGAAACGCCTCCCGCCTCCCCCCGGCTGCCCCCCAGAGGTGAGTTGGGGGGCCTTCCTCAGACATCAGCGCAGTGCTTCTAGCTTAAGGGTGCTGGTGGGGGAGGAATTCAGGATGCCAACAGAGGCGGATACGTTACCCTCGGGGTTCCCTGAGCTCGGCTGTTTTCTTGCAAACATTTCGTTACCCGGCCAGGTAACGTCTTCAGTGCTAGAAGGGAGTGGGGTTTGCTCTCCATTTATATACAGTGTCTCTGTGTGTGCGTGTGCGTGGGTTCTCTGGTAGTTCCTTGATTGGGGTACTGTTTACTGCTTGATTGTGTCCCTGGTGACCCATCCAGCTGTGCAGTTTATTGGAGGTTTGCATCTGACGCTGGTGGG